GGCTCATTGCAGAGGATACCCGTCGAGGGTCAACAGGGCTCGTTCGAGGCACTCGACGAAGCTTTTCTCGAGGACAGGTATACATGCAGCGACCTCCAGGTCTCCTTTGGAGTCTCGCTGGAAGACGTGACAGCGCCTGTGTGCCTCCCGGTCGGTCCACAAATGGGCTGGCGCATCCGAGCACATCCTGAAGCAGCAGCGCTGATGCTACACTCTCTTTAAGATCGGTGCACGTGTGCTCAACGCAGATCTCACCCTGGCATTGTAATGTGAGGATAGGTTTCGGTCCCCGGAGCCAGACATAGAGAATGGCTACCACTGCCACGGTCAAAGTGCGATGTCCGGGCAGGGCGTAAAACGTTCGAAATGCCAGGTAGTAGGGATTGGGTTCCGTCCCTGGCACATCGGGGATATGGTTTCGGTCCGCTTGCAGGTACGTTACAGCACCTTGCTATCAGGCTCTTCGTTGGCCATTCCCTGGTAGCAAGGCTGAATGGCCCCCTGCAAACGTCCACATGTGAAAACAGAAGGAGTGACCCTCTGCTCCCATGCGCTAGGGAGGTTCACACACACACACACACACACACACACACACCACACACACACACACACACACACACACACACACTTGATTTGACCCTCGATTGATGGGATTGTAGGCTGTGGTACCATAATGGGCCGCACAACGTATCCTGGCAGCTAGCATGAGCGAGTGTTGCCGGTGGCAACAAGGCCGAACACGGAGATACAAGTTGTTATCAACCGAAGAACTTGACGACGATAATGAGGTAATTTCCTAAGTGTCGTGGATATCCTGACAAGGCTGAATTGCATTCGAAGCTTGTTACGGGGTTCTTGGCCTAGCCCCATCGCCACGATCCACAGAAAAAAGTGCGCATCACTCCATTGCAGGTACACAGATTGGCGTCCCTATCTGCTTCACGGAGTATCCACAGCCATCTTTGTTGGCAGCAGAACTGTGGACTCCCTGCTGCCCCATGCCTTTGAAACTGCAAAAGGGCCATGGGGGCGGTGCGATGCCGGCTAGTGCCTCCCATTCGGCGAGCTCTGCTCGCAGGTGCCTAGGGAGCTGCGGCGCAGCAGGGAAGCCCGAGGCGGTGTTGCGCCAGCGCTTGTGCCCCAAGAATTCAACAGAAATCATTCTGCTGAGTTTGGAAAAGTCTCATCTGACGGCGCGGGTAGGGCGCTCGAGTAGTTCGTGGGGAGGACGATGAAGATCCCCCCCCTTTTCCCAGTGCCCCGAATCCCACAGGTTGCTTCCCGCTGCACATCTGCATCCAGTAGGTCCTCATCGGCAGCGTGAGCGACATCATAACACAGTACCCACCATGGTGCGGCGCGGGCGATTTCCCTAGCAAGCCCTCGAGACCCTGAAAACAAATCCAGCCAACCCGGACCGGAGCGAAGGGCAGTGTGGAGATCAGGGAAAACAGAGGAGTAGATGAAGCGGCCGGGAGGCAGCTGAAACAGAAAATCCAAGACAGGACCAGGCAAGGTTGATTGCAAAGCGTCCGAAGTGGTCCAAGGCGCGATCGAGCGCGGCGCAGAAAAGAATGGGCCATCTGCTCTCGACAGCTCAACCGCAGGGGAGCTGGAGAAAGTGACGCGGGCTCGACCCGTAGGGAGCCAACAGCATGCTCAGAGGCGGAGGCAAAATGCCTCGTGAAGCCATCCCCTCCAGATGGCAAATCGAACTTCAAATGGAGATCCTCCTTTCGCAGAGGCTTGGAGGCAGGCCGAAGCTCGAAAGAATCCTGCCCCAAGTCAGAAGCGCAGAGGTCCGGCTCACCCCCACGAGGAGGCCGGAACCCGATTGATTCGAGGTACTCAAGATGCTCCTCCCCGAGTGATTCCGGATTCCGAATCGAAAAAAGCAACTAAGACAACTCTCTGACCCTGCCACGGCATGGTGGCGTGAAGTTGACGATGATCGAAGTATGCCGGTCCTCGTTGCAAGTCGATCAGATTGCCAAACCGCTGCACTCCACAATGGTTTAGTGCGTGGGTCCCCCCCGCACTCTCGACCCAGAGCTCGCCCCTCTTGAAGCGAGACAAGGCGATAAGAAGGTTGGGCTCATCCCGGTAGTTGTGGCTGTCGACATGTGGTAGGCTTCGGCAGTTGCTTCGTAGTGAGTCGGTTAAGGCAGCTCGTGAGTGGAGCGCCGGATCCCGGCCACTCCCCCGTGAACAAAGGCGCCTGTTGTAAAGACAGTGCCCCGCCTTCCATCATTCACATTACGGCTTGCAACCTCGACCGGCAGCTTACGGAACAAGCACAGCACATCAGAGCCGAAGACAGCAGAGCCACCTAGCCGCGCACGAGCAAACTCCTCCGGCCCTTGCCGGCGGCGGGACAAGCGACCCGGGTCAGCAGGCGGGACACTGATGATCGCGTCAGGAAGCAGCTCCTCCTCCGGAGGCAAGTCACGCACCTGCTCAAGATGAAAACCCCTTGCCCGCAGCCACTCGTCAAGCGGTTCAAAGTCGCCGGCATCAGCAGCTGATGTCCACCACCCCGGCAGCTCCCGGCTGGGTGCCCTAAGCGGCACGTCGTGGGTTGGGTCGTCCGACGGGTTAAAAGCAGATCTAATGAACCCATACTTAGGGACACAACCGAGGGCAAGGTGGGAGGCGAGGCTTCTACGAAGATCGAGGTTCAAACCGGGACTAGCACTGCGACCCTTCATCAAACAGGCGGCGGCCACCTGGCTGTCGAGGATGCGCAGATAGCGGCTCCCAGGATGGCAGTTGCCGACAGCACATTCCGCCCGCAAGGCAGCACGAAGTTCACCAATGTTAATGTGCCGGCGCTTGCTAGCCCTGACCGTCGAACCCAATTGGAAGAAACCTAACCCACAACAAAGCTCCTCAAGGAGTGGGTGATGCTCATACGATTCCCCGGGCAACTCGGCATACAGCATCGGATCGAGCTCACCTCGTTCCTTCAAGTAGCTGGGGAGCGCGCCCATCAAACGGCTCCAAAGGCCCTTTTGCAGGCCGTGCCTGCACAATTCAATGGACATATGCTCCGGTACCGAAGCGGCCACCGCGGCTTCTTTGGTGCTTGAGGCATCACTGCAGACAACTAGTGGAGCTCCGGGCGATCTGAGGTCAGCTTCAGCCGTCCAACTTCAGTAAGAAGATTATCCCCCAATCCCGGCGGATGGGCAAGGGAGTCCTGCAGTGGCTAATGCGATTCGGGCTTCACCTTTGGACCGGCGTCTTGACCCCGGCCCCCGACGAAGCACAGCTCCTTGACCCTCGAGAAGCTGGATGTAACAACGGGCGTGGAATAAGTCGCTCCCTGGGCGTCCCGGCAGATGATATACAAGCGCGAAGCTAAGCTAAGCCGCTCCCTCCCCGAGTTACCTCGAACCTCCTCGTTCAAGGCTCGGACCAGGAACCTTCCAATACCCTCAGCAACACTGCCCTGAACTCTGAAGTGGGCGGTCCCGGATGCAGCTCAGAAGACCCGTCTCTAAACGTGACCACACCAGCAGAACTCGCCTGGGACCTGGCGGGAGTGACAGCACCCCGAGGCGGGGTAGAAGGTACGCCTGCTCGACCAGCAGACCCGTGGCTCAACAACCTCAAAAACCGAACCTTCCTCAAGCGTACTCAGCCTCTGATCCAAATTGTCCAACAAAGCCCTCGAGGCCTGAAGCTCACTACGAAGGGCAGCAACCTCAAGCCTCTGGCTCATTCAAGGACTCGGTACAATCGATGCAGTGGATAGACGGCCCGATTCAAGGCCCGGAAGCACAGGTATCGCAAGATCAGGAGAAATTCCAGGAGGGGCCCCAAGCAAAGCCCTAAAAGCAACCCCTCAAGAACCGAAGGGAGATGGAGGCCCAAGACCCAACTGGTCGAAGAAGGTTCCAAATCCAGGAGGCCCGGCAGCGAAGGAAGAGCCCCAGTCTCGGGAGGCACAAGAACCCTCGAATCCGAACTCAGATCCCGCAGTAACTGAACACACAGACCAAGGAGCCCTCCCGAGGCCCCCGAAGCTGCCGCGAGAGGCAGCGGCCGCATGAACCGAAACTTCGCACACCGGCATGAACATGCTTTCTTATGCGCCGGAACTGGCGGGTACCTGAACAGGTCGGGCGGTGCCGCCGCTGGCCGCTGCCCAAGCACGACTGAGCCTTGCTCGGGCACACTGGATCTCGGTCGTGGGGCTGCTGCAAGGCCAAATCCACAGTCTACAGTGCTCTCATCGAACAGGGCCGACACCAAGGCCTCTGTTGCACCACGCGTCATCTCCAGTGACCGGGTTGTCGTCGCATGTCCCTCGGCAACGGACTGGGCCATCAACGCACTCAGGCGAGCTCAAGGAGTTGATGAGGTCGTCCTCTGTGGCACCGACAGGACCTGCCTTCGCCGTCGCTGCTTCCGCCACGGCTGCGCTGGAAGCTGCTTGAGAAGCTTTTGCCCGCACCGGCACAAACCTCGAGAGGTAACATCGTCGAAAAGGTTGTCACTTGATGCACACGTGCCACGTGCACAACCAGGCAGCATTCCGCTCAAACCATCTTGTTGTCATAGACAGCGGGGCGTGCACAGCATAGAGTTTCCGGCTGTCAGGGCAGAGTGCACAGCGTGAAAAGCCTCACATACGTGCATCGGTATTCCAGCATTTCGCTTTGACATGTACAAGCGCTCACCACGACGGAGCATGATGTCGAGGAACGAGCTCGGATTTGCCGGCCGGCGGGGCTCGGCTGAGCAGCAAATTGGGAGAGAATTGAGCCATCCCAGATGTTCCGTGGCCACGGCTATCCTTATCCTCATACTTCAAAAATCCACAACGCTTGTCTGCAAAATCCTGTCACGAGACTCTGGTGAGGGGTTGGCTTTGTGTGTCGTCTCTGTCAACGGCAAGCGCCGCGACTTCTCTGGGGCTGAAGGGCGTGTGAGGCCTTGTTATCTCCCTGTCTGTTGCCTTATCTCCATGTCCCTCGAAACATGGCTGCTTCGACCTCTTCGCCGTGGAGGGGAAGTCGTGCGCGTGAACCTGAAGAGCCTCCAACTTCAAGCTCGAGCCTCAGAAACTCGGGCCACGCAGGGTGCCGGCTTGGGGAATCTCTGCTGTAGCTTTCTGAAGAGCTCTGCAAATGCGCGTGGCCTGGTCTGCTCTTCCAGCTCCTCCACATCGGCACCTCGAAGAGAGAGAGCTGAGAGCTGAGAGCTGAGAGCTGAGAGCTGAGAGCTGAGAGCTGAGAGAGAAATAAAGAAAGAAAGCCGGGGAGGGGTACGCGGGGACGGAGAAGTCTGCCTGGCCTAGGGCACGGCTGCAGTCCACCAAAGCCTGAAACTGGCCAACGAAGTCGCCGAGCGCTTTGTGATCCTGGTCTTCGCAGCTCTGCCTTAAACTGCCAGTCTGCGCCCGCCCGCCGCGTCCTCCGCGATCTGGCCCCAGACCTTCCTGCGCCGCCCGTCCAGCCTCGGCGGCGGAGTTTGCTGCGGCGGCGGAAAAAGCAAGGCCGCAACGGGCCGCTCTCGGCTCCGTGCTGGCGGAGGACGAGGCTGAGGACCTCCTCGAAATCCTCGGAGACCTCCCCGCTGCCTGCGCTCCCGCCGGGCCCGCCGGGGGGCTCCTCGCCGCTCTTCTCCTCCTGAGCAAAACCCGGCGGGAAAGCTGCGCTCAAAGCGCAGGCTCTGCGCAGGGCGGCGCGCCTTCTCTTCGCTTTCGGCGTGCTGCGATCCGGCCGCGATCCCGGAGACCACCCTCTGCACCTCGAGCGGCTCAAGGAACAAGCACAGATGCAGAAGTTGCACACCAAGCTGCCCTCGCGCGTGCCTGAGGCATCCAGAGTGCCACCTGACAATAATAGCAATACATTGGGGCGAAGCCTCTGCCATTCAAAACCTAATTTGCATTAAAAAAATAGCGGGGTCCGGAGCAAGAGCAAAGGCAAGAGCAGGAGCTGGAGTAAGAGCAAAAGCAATAGCAAAAGAGCAACAGCAGGAGGTGCAAGAGCGAGGGCAAGAGACGCAGCAGGAGCAGGGGCAAAAGCCTGCGCAGGAGCAAGAGCAAGAACCTTCAAAACTGACAGAAGAGATAAACATAGCCCCCCCAATAATTAAACTCACTTTCCGAGTTTCTATTTGTTACCCCCCGTTTCATGTTAGGGGGAAAGGATTATCGGTATCGAGCACGAAATAGTCGAAGAGGGAGGGTGCGAACGCACGAAGAGAGGATGCGGATGCTCACCGCACCTCTGCGGCGAGCTCCTGCTCGTGCTTAGCCAGTGACTCAAACCTTGCACAGACCGAAATCACTACAGGACGGTGACTTAGATCTAAGGTATTCAATTGGTCCGTTGCAGGGTCCCGGGCTCGCGCATCATGGTGCCCACCTTCCGCTCGGCCTGTCAGACCAAGCCGCACTGAGCCTCTCTGGGCCTCTGCCCTTTCCGCAGCCGCCGCAGCCTGCTGCAGAAGCATTCGGAGCCCCGCACCGCCGTCTTCCTCCTTGCCCCCTTCCTGCACCTCTGGCAGAGAAATGGCCAAAAACTGAGAACAGCGTGTCACTGTTTGTCCGCGCGTCGCCTGCCGGCGCTTCTCGCACCAGTGTTCCACGTCGTTTGCCACCGCTTCTTTCAACAAGCAGGCGGCTCGGCCTTCGCCAGAAGAACGCGGGGCCACAGATCACATCCATTCCTATCCAAGCATAGAAGCTCGTTGTGGAAGATGGCTTCATGTTGGGGTTACACGGCCGCCCGCCTTCACAACATCTTGGAGACCCGCATGCACGGCTGGGGGAGGAGAGAGAGAGAGAGAGAGAGAGAGAGAGAGAGAGAGAGAGAGAGAGAGAGAGTTGCGAGAAGCTTTGATGGGATTGCGAGGAGACCCGGTCGAGGTGGGTCACGCCATACACCAGATGATTGCAAATTCGCACAGTCTGTTGCCCTACCGGCGTCATTTGTCTGCTCGAGTCGATAAAGGTCTTGAGGCTCGTCACGACGATGACACGACGAGGGCACAAAGCACAAAGCTGAGGCCGCGGCACTGTGCAGTGACGCGGCTCTCCAGCGACAACAACCGCGAGATCTGAGAGGGCCTGGCCAAGCGGCCAAGCCCGGCGCAGCAGCGGGTGCAGCAGCGACCCGCGTCTCTAAGCCGGGCCCGGCACCAGCTGGAGGTGCAGGGCCTCTGCAGGGCCGAGCTGCGGCCGTGCGCTGTGGTGCGCTGCGGAGTGACAGCTTTGGGTCCCCTGCGTCCAGCGCTCGCCGCCTTGGAGTTGCTTCAGCTCCTGCCCAGCAACCGGTCGCTCCGGGATCGCTCCGCCGCTTCCCGCCACCCGCGTCGCCTGCACCGTCAGCTCCAGGTCGCCCTGCGAGGGGGGCGGCTCTGAGAGCAGGCAGAGCAGGCAGAGCAGGCAGCATTGCGGCAGCATGCACCGAGACGGACCGTCGGTCGGGGGGCGCCTTCTCCTCCAGGAGCCGCAGGCGCCGCTTCCGCTCCTCGTGGAGGCGCTCCACCGTCCGCTGGGCCTCGGCCAAGAAGCGCTGTTTTTGCGGCATCGGACGGGTGACTGCTTGGCTTTCTTTCGAAACTTCGAAAGTGCTTTGCTCTCGTTTTTTGCTGAGGAAATCTCGGAATCCCGCTCCAGCATTTTGAAGAAAGTATTGAGGTCACGAATCGAAAAGGAACACGGCCAACATGCTTCTCCTTATGTACTTCACAAGTCAGAGGTGCGAACACCATGTACTGGCGGGATTCAGGAGGAGCATTCTATCAGCATTCTGGTCACACCTGTGAATCCTGGTGGGGGGAAGCATCCTCTGGGTGTGATAATGCTCGTGGTCGTAGTGCTCTCTCTGTCTCTGGCAATCGGCAATCTGCACAATCCCATAGCCCTCATAGCCCATGGCCCCATGGCCTCCTGTTCCAGGCGCTTCCGCTCCTCCTCGTGCTCCAAACTCTGCCGCTCCTTGTCCTGCGAAGCCGAAGCGAAGCAGATCCGAAGCACGGAAGGAGCTGCTCTGCTGCTCTGCTGTTCTGCTCTGCTCTGCCTCCCAGGTCTGCTTCATGAAGGATTCCATCTCCTGCAGCTGCGTCTCGTAGCGACCTCGGCAGCATCTGCCAGCATCTGCCAGCTGCCGCGCACTCTCGGCATCTTTCAGCATCTCTCAGCTCCGCCGCTGGTGTCAGCGAGGCCCGAGGCCTGCTCCGCCAGCTTCAAGCGCAGGGCCTCCAAGCACCAAACAGGAGAAAGATGACGTGCTTTCAAGAGCTAGACTCAGCTAGACTCTAGACTCCAGTTCTTTCCGTCGGAGAGGAGGAGGATGTGTTTTGAAGCTCTTTCTGTGGCCGCCTCCACCTCCTCTTCGAGCTTCGCAATCTGCTCTGCCTCGTCGTTCCTCGGAAACCCGCGGACTTCCAAGACTCCGGGCTCGCCCTCGCCCCCTCGCCGGGCTCTCGGCTTTGTGGCATTCACCTTGATGGTCTTTGCACGCCTCAGTGCAGCGTCCAACCGACGTTACCGGCCCGCTCAAGTTCAACTCATGAATCCCGGAGCCCTCCGTGGCTGCGGCTTGGCATAGTTCAGTGTCGAGAGGCTCTCGTCGGCATTCGTCCTCGACGGCGACAAGGCGGCCTTTGCAAACACATGCAAATTGCAGACAACGTGGTGTTGGACACGCCCATCCGCGCAACAACTCGCCGAATTCTGGAGTTGGTGTTCGCTTGACGCGCACGCGATGACGGAGGGCTCTGTTGAGAGGGGGGTGGGCCCCGACTGGGATTGAATCGTCATAGCCGACTTCCAATGCTTTGCCGAGGATAGCTATTCAACCCTGCTTCTGTTCCTACAGCATGATGAACGAAGGCTTCGGGGATCACGTCCCTCGCCTGGTGCCCTTGAAGCCCCCCTTAACCGGAATAACAAGCATCATGAAGAGTATAGTTACCACTATATGCTCCGGATAGCGAATATCGCCGACATCTCCCGACCACACTGGGGACGGCTCGGTTCGAAGCACGAGACGAAGTCTCGAGTTTTGCTTCCCCAGTGCACACCCTCGACCGGTCGTCCCAAGAGTCCAATGAGTGTCATGTTTCCTTTCGCTGCTGGGGTGAGTTGACGGGGTCTGTGCGCTAGACGGCATCATCTTCCAGTGCTATATATAGCGATGGTGGTTGGTCGTGATAAGTTGGTGTCATGTGTAGCATTTTGGCGACATCCAGGCGATTCAGTGAAGATGTGCGGCATGGCACTGGCATGTGACACACATGCATGTGCCAGTGCAGCAAGCAATGAGGTTGCTAGAGGCAGTGGAGGTGGTACTGAAGACTTGAGGGGAGTCGTACAAGCAGTTCGTGGGTGTTGGTGGCGGGTGTCTGTCAGTTGGCGACAGACCGCGATCCTAGCGTCCAACCAGCCGCCCGGGCCGGGGCCCCGGCCATCATCGTCGTGAGCGCGTTGCCACCCAGGGACTCCTCGGCTCCGACAGGAGGCTGCCCCCCCCCCGCGACGACGCTTTCGCGCTTTCGCGCCTGGAGCACCCGCGTCAGCTTGGAGTTTCTGTAGGGGATAAAGACCTGCCCACAGGCCCCCGGGGGGCCCCTGGCCACTGAACGCCGTTCTCCGATTCGAGGCAGGTCACTTTCTTGCTCCCGGAGGCCATGGTGCTCAAAGCGTTGATCACGTTTCCAAGGGCAGACCTTGCGCGATTCCAGCTTCAGCTGGACTCTCCTTCCCTCTCCCTCTCTCTGGGGTGGCCACAAGCTTTTGTTGATGTTGGCCCCCTCTTTCAGGGTGTCTCCCTGTCAATGTTCCGTTCACTGCAATTGCGCTGGCTCTCCAGCGGCCGAGGGCCTGTGCACCTGTTCGGGAGGCTCGCTCACTGCCTGCCAGGTCCTGCTCAGTTTCGGACTTTCCGACCGCAAGCGCCAAAAGCACGAAACTGCGCTCTCCACGAGGTTCATCTTCGAGAAATTGTTGTTGCCGGCATTCTGCTCGTCCTGCGATTCTGACACTCCCCCAGCCACGTGTGAACGGAACCGAGAAGTAGCGATCACGGTAGCGATAGAACGTTCGCCTTCTGATGCATCTTGATGATGAAGAGGCAGTGCGAGCGGCTGCTGGTAGCATTCATCTGAGTGGCAGCTGTCGCCCGGTGCTCGAATCCTGGATATGGCCGCGCAACGCTCTCAACTCCACTTCCATACTCAGTGGCGGCCAGTGGCCACCGGTGGCCTTGGTCGATGAGTTTCAAGACCTTTTCGGACGAATCCACCACGATCTCTTGCAGGTCCTGCGCGATCGGATCTCTAGTAACCACGCCTTCCTTTTAAGCGACTCTCCGGCGCCTTGACGTACACTCCGATGCCTTTGCCTTCGCGGATCTCCAAGCCTCCGGCCAGAGCACTTGAGCGCCGCTCGGCCAGAGGTCGCCGGCGGGACCGGACCGCCGGGACCGCCCCGGGCCTGTCTTCGGCGTGTTTTTCCCTCTCGGAACCAGGAGGTCGTAGACGATCTAAGCACAGAGAGAGACATGGAGAAAAGAGCCACGACGGGCCACAGGACTTGGCGTGGCGCCTCGTTGTAGATCTCTAAGAAGGAGCAGCAGATCAGGAACTTCCGGGTCTCCTGTGCCCGCGTCCCCCGTGTCCCGCGCACGCGCCTCGATGGAGAAGAGCCCGGAGCTCCGAGGAGAGCTTGGAGACGCGCTGAAACAAGTTGTCCGAGATCCGGGGAACCCTCGGAGCTGCGAGAGCTCCGGTAGCCAGTAACAGCTTGGGCATCTCAGTTCTCTGCAAACCACGATCGTCGGACTTGCGATCAGCCATCATTGTGTGAGTCTTGCCTGATCCTGTCTGACCTGAGCTGGGCCACAGAAAGAGACTCCGTCGCGACTCGACTACGACCAAGAAGTGGGGCCATACGCGAAGATGGTGGCATTGTAGCCTTCGAAGGCTTTGTCCTCGCTGCAGGGTCTAGTAAGGTCTGTCCATACTGTGGGCTTGCATGTGCAATGTGCAACGGGTCCAATAAGGGGTTCCCCAACCTGAGAGAGCTGGAAAAAGAGAAGAGTGCTTCTTGGAGAACTCTCAGGCTGCCGGGCATTTCGAAGACCTCCGGCTGCGTCGAGTCCTTGCCAAAGACCTCGACAAAAGCCGCCGGCGGCCGGCGCGCGGCCGGAGCGCGGCCCTCTGAGTATCCGAGCATTGTCGAAAGCAAAGACATTCGGAGGCTGGTTTTCTTGGTGGAGCGTCACGGTGTTGTCTTTGGCGACCTGTCGGCAAATAGAGGCCTGACAGGCCCAGGGCCCTGCAGGGCTGCAGGGCTGCAGGGCTGCAGGCGCCTCCACGCACTCCACGCCACCTTCTTTGATCTCCTTCTCGCTCAATGGCCGCACCCGCACAGCCACCTAATGAGGCACGTGACGCGGTTTTGACACGACGCTGACGCTCGCTGTCCCTGCGCCTGCACCGTGGTGGTGCCGACATCATCGGTCATGGCCGCAGCCGGGGCCCAGTTGGGCCCCGGGCAGGGATCTGAAAGAAGTCTCGGTTCTTGCTTCGTCAGGGCTGGGGAAACGACGATGCAGCGGGCGTGGGGGCTTTTCTATCAGTCTATGGGGTCTATGGCTTGGGTGTGCTCCTGTCATTCTCATCGCTTGCGGCTCTGTTCCTGGCTCTTGCATGCTTGCATATCACTGTGACTGCCGAGCACAAGACGTATCACCAGACAAGGAGGAAAGACTGCGAAGGGCTTACGCGAAACTCCTTTCCTGCGAGTCTCTGGTCCGGCCCGGGGCCCGGCGAGGTCACCGCTTTAAGCGGTGGTCTGGGTGGCCACCGGCCGGGCGGCATAAATTCCTACAGCACAGCAAACCCGCGAAGCCGTTCGAACGGCTGCCGTTCGAACGGCATCAGCGCACTCCCTCCCTCACTCCACAGTGGCGAAGGTTTCGTCCCAGCCTCTGACGGTCGGGCCGGGTCTCTCAGGCCCGAGGTGCTTCGCCGAGGCCCCGGCCATCTTCGGGGTCCAAGTAAGGGATCGTCTCGGGGAGATCCTGCAAAAAGGCCGCGCGCGGTGGCGCTTTGCACAGCGCAGTGCCAGCTCTACGGCTCTCCTTCGGATCTGCAAAGAAGTTGGACAAGTCCTGCGTTCCAGAGGGAGGACACAAGGCCCCTTTACGTGAAAGTGCACCTTTCTATGGCTCGCTGCAGCCTCGTCGTCAGCAACATCCGGAACGTACGGCGAAGGCATCTCACCCGCCTGAGAGACGTATACTGGCTTCCCTCAGCGAACCTTTGCTTTCCGGTTGGCTCCGCAGACCTGCAAGGCATTCCAGTCGAAGCCCTCGAACCATTCGTGCTCCTGCGCGGCACACAGCCTTCCACGGGCGGGGCGCGCGGGCAGGGCGTCCCTGGTTGGGGCGCAGGCCGTCCTGCAAATGCTTGAGGCCTTTCACCGGCAGCCGGTCGGCCGGCAGCGGCCTGGAGACGCACGGAGGCGAGCAGAAAGAGCTACGGAGCCGAAAGCGGAAAGCGGAAAAGAAGCGAGAGAAGCGAAGAAGAAATCAACAAAATGCAGACACCCACGGACACACACACACACACGGACACACACACTTGATTTGACCCTCGATTGATGGGATTGTAGGCTGTGGTACCATAATGGGCCGCACAACGTATCCTGGCAGCTAGCATGAGCGAGTGTTGCCGGTGGCAACAAGGCCGCACACGGAGCTACAAGTTGTTATCAACCGAAGAACTTGACGACGATAATGAGGTAATTTCCTAAGTGTCGTGGATGTTGACAAGGGTGAATTGCATTCGAAGCTTGTTACGGGGTTCTTGGCCTAGCCCCATCGCCACGATCCACAGAAAAAAGTGTGCATCCTCCATTGCAGGTACACAGATTGGCGTCCCTATCTGCTTCACGGAGTATCCACAGCCGTCTTTGTTGGCAGCAAGACTGTGGACTCCCTGCTGCCCCCTGCCTTTGAAACTGCAAAAGTCAGCAAACCCTTAAGGGTGCACACTCGCGCAACTCCCTCTGATAGTTACTGCAATCCAGGTGAAGATGTACAGCCACTAGCCAGATTGTTGGGGTTCTTGGCTTAGCGTAATCGCCATAATGCTGAGAAAAAACTCATCACTCTAATGCAGGTACGTCTGGCTGATCAGGCCAGATACCACCATGCACTGACAGTGTCTTCGTTGGGTGATTGTCAGGCATGCGCTGCCCCCTGCTTTCTTCAAAAGAGCGATCCCTTGGCGACAGGGTTTCCCACACACAGCAAGCCACTTGGGCAAAGCTGCACATTTACCGAGGAAGTAAGTGAAACATGTGACACAGGTTCAAGCAAGCCATGTGCGTACAAATGAAACAGATATGAGTGTATGAAGCGAAGTAACCGGATCTGATACGGAACTCTGCTGCCACTTTGGTGGAGCTCCAAGCAATGTACTTTGGGTCGGCGCCCAGTGCAGTCGAAAATTCTGTACTGCAGTAAGTACTTCACATTGTCGACGATATCATTGGTCGAGCAGACAATGTGGAACTCCATAGGTTGGTACAGTGTAGTTCTGTCAGGCGGCACATGTACGTCCAGGCGAAACACTTGTTGCGACGGCCATGGCAGTCCTGCATCGGTCGCAGTACGGTTCATGGTCACTGTATCGGTCTGACATCTTTTTACCAAGACGAGAAGTCAGAAGCATCAAATGGCGAGGTGCAATTTTCGGCTACTACGTAGCACAACTTGCCGGACTTGACTTTATCAACGTTCGGCTCGCTTGGAAATGGAATTAAGAGCGTTCTTGAAACCACGCGAATTGAGCGTGTTTGTAGGGGGCATAGCCTTGATGACATCTAAAGCAAGCTTGGCTCGCTTGGTCTGTCGCACTTCTGCACATAGAGGGACAATTGGGTCTCTACAGCAATAGTGCTGGGCCTTTGGCCAAGAAGATTATAGCTTCTTTGTTGTGTCTTTAAACGGTTACTATCGACACAAACAACCTCCATGGATTCTTCGGGCCTGGAATTGTCCCCAGGCTTGGAAGATGAGGACGTCGATGACATAGATGATTTAGAAGATGTAGATGACATCGAGGAGGAAGAGGAAGATGACGACTTCCGTCGGCGTTTGGCACGACGTGTTTTGACACAGCACTTTCTAGAGACCTGTTTGACAGGTGAGGCTGGTCTTTGTAAATCCTAGCCTGGCTGCCATGTGCCTCATCACTCCCACGTGTGTGCCGAACATAGCCTCGCCCGAGCTCGCCTTATCTGGCCGGCTGCCTCTCGCGGAGCACGGGCGGAAGCCTTCTATCCGGCTTCTGGTCACGAAGCTGTAGCTCTGGATCAGCTCATCTGCTGCTGTCCTGCTGATCTATCCCGTCCATCAATCTCCGGAACACCTCAGCTCCCTATCCTGTGGCGGCGCGGAGCCAGAACTAGCCTGTGGCCAGGCTCTCCGGCGGCGACTCCCACACCTCTTCACAGTCTATCCTCCCAGGTCTGCCCCGGATTGCATTTGGAGCGACAGGTTAAAACCGGTCTTACGAGGCGAAAACTTGCGAATGCCACCCACTGTGGCCAAGCTCCTGTCTCTAGCCCTAGCTCTTCCGCCATCTGGGTTGAGCATGGTAGCACCTATCCAACATCTCCTTCTTGGGCACACCGCCGCCTCCAGCCCAAGATCCTGGACCGGGCCCTGTCCCTCCAACCAACCCCAAGGGATACGCCCTCCCCCACCTGCCCGTGCAGAGACGACGACGGGAGGGGTGGGCTCCTTGGCAGGGACTGGCCGGAGCATCAGAACCGCTAACCAGTCCCTTTCCCCATTCTCCCTCAAAGCCTCAAACTGAACTGGCTGCAACACACGCTGCACCGCCACAGGAGCCGTGTACAACCGAACAAGCTCTGCTCCATGGACGTCCACCAAACGGACAACAGTGGCGTTGTGAACGCGCGAAAGCCGTCTAAAATGCGCACACACTCTTCTACCAGCACCTGCGTAAAGTCCGCACTGCTTTGTGCTGCCGGTCCTGTTTGAGAGGACCCTTGACCTGAACCGTTTGGCCAATTTGGCAGCTTGGCAGCTTGGCATGGACCCCATAGCGGCAACTTGAGGAGCTCCACCGTGAGACTGACCCTGCTTTTGAAGCATTCACCGAAGTCCCACCAGTTGCATTCGCAATTAAAGCATTGGCAGTAGATGCACTAGCACTAGCAGCATTTGAAGAGGATGACTCCCCCCAAAGAGGATTCGCCTCCTTGCCTTTGCCTTTCCGGTCCAGTGGGACGCTGGCAGTTGTCTTGTCGATGTCTTGTGCTTCCGCAGTTGAAACACCGACTGTCACCCTTATCCTGGCCGTACAACCCGCCTCTGTGAGATAGAACTTACATGGCTGTCCCTCAAGTTTGCCTTTCCCCTTTCATTTGCTTTTAGCTTCCTCTGTTGGAGCAGGAGGGCTTCCAGGTTGAGAAGATTTGGCTTTGGCCTGAGGAGTGGTTGAAGGAGCATCCACCTCAGCTATAGCTTGGGTCCGCTAGGAGCGGCGTCTTCACCAAAAACAGCCAGCATGTCACACTCTGAAAGGAAGATCTTCGAGTAATCCTGAACTTTCTCCGTTTCTCCAGAGTAGGTTGATGATGTCTGGCCGAGCTACAACGAAAGCTTACATGAGGATGCCGCTTGAAATCGCGCTGACAACCCCGTCAACACCTTTCAGAAAAGTCGGGCAATCTGGTATGGCTACCTGCATGGTGGCCGCCCGCCAAGCTCGGAGCCTAGAGCACGCCTCTGACGCCGCGTTTGAAGGCCCAGGATTGGTCAAAGTCTCCAAGAGTCGAACCCTTTCCTCAAGCCCTCCCGGCTGAAAGAGCCTATACACATGGCACAGCACCCCTACGCAATGCGAACATCGTGATGCCACCAACGCTTGCTTGACAGTCTCTGGAACTGCCCCTTGCAGCATCGCAAATGCCCGGCTCCCTAAGCGCCTGAATTTCAAATTTAAAAACGTTAGGTTGTACTAGCGCCTTCTCCGATGCGGTGCTTCGCACCACCTTTGATGCCAGGATCTGGCCTCACATAGCACACGTTTCCACCACAACGAACTCCAAGGCGCCAGGTCCGCCATGATGGGTTCCAACAAATGAACCCAGTCTGAGGCTCTGGTCGCTGCATCTGACTCTGCAGCAGGCTCTTCCAAAGCTGGCAGTTGCCAGTACCACCATGATTGGGAAGAGAAGGGCGTGTTTCCGTGCGAGCCGGCATGGAGCCCTGGTCCTACATCCATCCCCCAGTCCCCATACTGGTCATTCCCTGGCATTGACAAGTCAGGAAAACCGCTATACAACGACTCTTCATGTTTGCGCCCTGAAGATTCAAACCCCTCAGACAATCCATGCTGTCCCTGGCGTGGTGACCCTGTGGCGTTGTGCAGACTCGGCTTTCTGCTTTCTGAAGTTGCTCAGGGGTTCTAGGCAGAGGGCTA